CACAATGGTCCCTCCTACTCCGATTTTCTCCGGAGGGCTATTTTTCACATGGGGTCTTATTTGACTCTATTTTCTTGAGGGAGGCTGATCCGAGATTTTTCGGATTGCTCCCATGCCTCCCACTTCAGTTTTCTTTACTTTTCCTTTTCCTTTTGGCCTTCCCATTTGTCACCATTAGTACTTGCACTAGTGGTGCTAATATTCTTGGCCGTCAAGATGTCGATCTTGACGATGCACATTGCATTTATTATTTTTCCCTCATGCGGTGCCGCCGTTTCTTCTTGGGACTTTCACATGTCCTCGCCACTTGTCCCATCGGTGGTCCCCGACACTTAGTCCCGCCGGTGGTCCCCGACACTTAGTCCCGTCGGGGGTCCCCGACACTTCGTCCCGTCGGTGGTCCCCGACACATTTCGCCCCGGATGCCATTATTTTTACTTAGTCCCACGTGGCGGCGGGTGCCTTTCCTCAAGGTGTCCCATGCCCCTTGGGCGTCTTGTCGCCCCATAGCGACCCGTCCCCTTAGTCTTTCCTCGCACCTTGTGCGTGCCGATCTCTTTGGTCGTGGGCCTTCGCTTCGAGACTCCCGTAGGTGGCCCCCATGTTGGCCCCTCATTTCCTGGCTTCCCGCGGCTTCTGGCCGCCCATCCCTCGACTTCCTCATTCCCTTATTGCTGTCGCGCTGCAATTGCTAGTTCAAAGAGCCCTTTGGCCTTAGTCTTATTGCATTCCGATGGCCCTCCCGGCCTCCTGCTATGTTCTATGTGCCCCTGTTCTTGCGCTCACTCGCTTGCTGCCGCTTAGTTCTGTCCCTCTGTGGCTCTCGCTCCAGGGCATTACTCCCTCCTGCGGCCTAATCCTTTATCTTGTCTCACTCTGGATTTCTTTGTTGTGCACAGTTCGTCCATATTTGGTCTCTCGAGTGATGGGAAGTTATTCGGGACTCACTAGTCCCGACACCGTTCAGGAGTCCGGAAACCCGTATTGATGCTTCCCAATGGAGAGCCCCTTCAATGGGGATGGGCCCAGCGGATCCATCAAGGGAGGAACCGACATGCCCTGAGCCTGAGACTGAGCCACGCGGGCCAGAGGAGTTGCATGCTGGGGAGATTATTATGATAGAGGGCCCTGAGCCTGAGACTGAGCCACGCGGGCCAGAGGAGTTGCATGCTGGGGAGATTATTATGATAGAGGGTGACACTCCTCCTCATACCCCAGTTCCAGAGCAGGTGCGGCAGCCTTGGCCAGAGGGAGTCCCGGAGCTAGATAGCCACGAGTTTCCAGCGCCCCCGCCAGAAGCCACTATGTCACCCAGACAGGCGGATGAGGCACGGGGACCAGAAGAGGGATGGAGGACTGAGCCCCGCGTGGTCATTGATTCGCACTTAGCCGCACATGCATCTGAGCACCCTGATATTGAGGTGCCTAGCTCGGTTGGGCCATCAT